ATTGTATTGTAATGTATTCTTTTGCTTCCAAGCATGTGTGGTCTCTCACTTTTTTTGGACGAATACTGTACTGATTAAATATAAATCGTTCTCTCTTTTATTGTACGAGAAACATTTTTGTGCTTGTCCTTGTCGCATGCACTGTTGTGATCAGCTGTCAAAAGCTTTGTACTTGAAGATCAGACTAACATACGATCCCTCCGAAAGCTATTTTTTTTTTTTTCATCTGATATTTTCACCGTGTGTATGGGGCATTGGGAGTGTTGAGCGGACAATCTGTTAAAGCAGAGTTCCACCTGAAAAAAGAAAAAAAGTCAGCAGCTACAAAAACTGTAGCTGCTGACTTTTATAATACAGACACTTACCTGTCCCTCGGTCCAGCGATGTCCTCACCACCGCTGGTTTCATCAGCCGTTTTCTCTCCCTGGTGTTGGCATCTTCAGTGTGGGCACCTGGCTGTGACAGCTTGCGGCTTCACAGCCGGGTGCCCACTGCACATTCGCAAAAAGCTCTGCGCTCTGTGAATGGCCCCGTTGTCTTCTGGGACCTGTCAAATGTCTCAGAAGACTACGGGGATGGAGGGGGCGAGGACAACTTCCGTTTCCAATTGCTTGGGCGATTGAAGTGGGAGTGGGTATCTGTCAAATTCGGTTACCCGCTCCCCAAAGGCGCCCTCAAAGGCACCAATCCTTAATGGGGAGCAGGGGACAAAGACTCAAAGCGGAACTTCCCCTTTTGGGTGGAGCTCCTCTTTAAAGCAAGGTCATTGTGAAATCAGTGGCATAGATATAGGCGTAAAAGCAATAAGCATGTAGCGTGTAGCGTGAGCCAGGGCCATGCAGAAAGTATAATTGTAACTGGGTGCCGATTCTCACCAGTCATTTTCTTGGGACGTCACTGGCTTATCTCTCACAAGGGGAAGTTCCAGTGCTGTTGACAGACAGAAAAGAGCATGTGACACCAAGACCCATGACATATATATATCAATGGTGACAGTAAAATCCAGTCTGGACACACAAAAAGCAACGCTAAACACATGTGTTTGATTACACAACAAAAAAAACACAAAAAAAGAGATAATAGGAATGTGACCAGCCCAAGGTCACACAAACATTCCAGGTGCACTCAGCCAAGAATCCACTTTCACCGTTGCCACCCTACCCTGAGATGTTTCGCAACAGAAGCAAAATTTGTAGGACAGATAGGAGGCCATTCACAGCACATTGCATACAATGGACAGGAGAGGCAGAAACAGACTATTCTACTATATCATTCTACTATGTCCACACATGACAACTCCAAAGCTGCAAGCAGACATACGATCAAGGCATGGAAAGAATGCACAGGGTGTATTAGGAAAGCAATGGACAGAGAAAGAGACGCAGACAATTCAGAAGTTTCCCGGGAAATGCAGAGCTCAAGGGAGAAACACGCAGACAGTACCACCCCAAATAGTTCCAAGTAGAGACACACATCTATTACTTACCACTGATCTCGTCTGTACTGTACTCCAAGCCTGCACCTACAACACCTGTGAGAGGAGGAGCACGAGCAGGGGGAGGAGGAGGAGGAGAAGCAGGAAGTAATCTCTCTAATCTACCTGTATACAGTATACTGAATGGAGGAGCTTCCCCTGTATGCTATGGACACACACTGCCTTATCAATGACACCTCATCCCTCTACTCTCTCTCCACAGATACTGCCCACATTTCATCATGGTTGTGTCCTCCACCCCAATTTGTAGCAAAAGTTATACAAAGGTCAAACATGATAATTACTGCTTCTTTTATTTAACTAGATGTAACATTATAATTATATCCATACTGTATATGGGATTGTTCATATACGGCAATTTGATCCATGCCCCGTGCAGGACCATGTGTTTACCCGCATGGGGACGCACATGTTTTCCTTTCATCCTCATGCGGGCAGCCCCATTCGTGTCTATCAGGATCAGGGGCGGACTGACAACTTATGGGGCCCCCGGGCAATAGGGGATCATGGGGCCCCTGTGTCCTTGCCCAAGCTCAAAAAAGCCTATGAAAAAGGTACCAGGGGCATCTCATGGGGCCCCCTACTGACCCCGGGCCCTCGGGCAGTGCCCGAGTTTCCAAATGGTCAGTCCGCCCCTGATCAGGACACAACAGCTGCATGGGCACAGCCTCTGCTTCTAAAATGGCATCAGTGTGGGTACAGATCGTGTCCTCGAACTCACCCTGGGAGCATGCACCCACTCCAGTCTGAATGTCACGTCGGGGAAGATTATTATTATACAGGATTTATATAGCACCAACAGTTTGCTCAGCACTTTACAATGTAACGGGAGACAATACAGCAACAATACAAGAGGGTTAGGAGGGCCTGATCCTGGGATCTTACAATCTAAGATTTACTAAAACTGGAGGTTACAAAATGTGGTGCAGTTCTGCCTAGGAACCAATCAGATTTCAGATTTTATTGTCAAAGCTTAATTGAACAAGCTGAAGTTAGAAGCTGATTGGCTACCATGCACAGCTGTACCAGAGTCTGAGTCAGGGGCGGACTGACCATTTGGAAAACTCAGGCACTGCCTGAGGGCCAGGGGTCAGTAGGGGGCCCCATGAGATGCCCCTGGTACCTTTTTCATAGGCTTTTTTGAGTTTGGGCAAGGACACAGGGGCCCCATGAGTTGTCAGTCCACCCCTGGTCTGAGTACTCCAGTTTTAGTACATCTCCCTCATTGTGTCCGTGCAGCTGCTGGGTGCCAATAGACAACTATGGGACTGACGACAAAGAGATGCTTGCAACACCTGCACATCCCCGTGCGAGTAAAACGTGCCCAATATCAAATTGCCCTGTGTGAATGAGTCCGAACTATACAATGTTAATTACTGGCAGCCCTCCAGCTGTTGCCAAACTACAAGTCCCATGAGGCATTGCAAGATTGACCGTTACAAGCATGACTTCCAAAGGCAGAGGCATGATGGGACTTGTAGTTTCGCAGCAGCTGGAGGGCTGCCAGTTTGACATCCCTGGTGTAAAGCCTCCAACTGTCCCTCATCTGGAAGGATTGTCCCCCGTTTGGAGGGAGACATATTTCATCTGTACACCATGACCAGTCAGGTTCATTGTGTCACCCTTTTAATCACTTGGTTGGTTATAGTATGCTGTGCAAGAGGTATATACCACAAGTCTTTTGGAACTCAATCCCTGGGTCCCTCTTTTCTTTTCAGTTGTCCCTTTTTTTGGACTCTTTAAATTCTGTTTTTTCATTCTTACATTGGGCCAGCTTGGCTCGATGTAAGTATGCATACAATATCTGACATCCAGAGGCAAGCCATTGGCTTAGTGGTTATAATTTCTGCCTCGCCACAGTAGGGTCCTCAGTTTGAATCACAACCAGGACATGACCTGCATGGAGTCCTCAAACTCACCCTGGGAGCATGCACCCGCACAAGCCTGAAAGTCACATTGGGGAAGATTTACTAAAACTGGAGGTTACAAAATCTGGTTCAGTTCTGCATAGAAACCAATCAGATTTCAGGTTTTATTGTCAAAGCTTAATTGAACAAGCTGAAGTTATAGAGATTGGCTACCATGCACAGCTGCACCAGATTGTGAGTGCTCCAGTTTTAGTACATCTCCCTCATTGTGTCAGTGCAGCTGCTGGGTCCCAATAGATAACTATAGGACTGACGACAAGGAGATGTTTGCAACACCTGCGCATCCCTGTGCAGGTAAACCATGCCCAATATCAAATTTCCCTGTGTGAATGAGTCCGAACTATACAATATTAATTACTGGTGGCCCTCCAGCTGTTGCCAAACTACAAGTCCCATGAGGCATTGCAAGATTGACAGTTACAAGCATGACTCCCAAAGGCAGAGGCATGATGGGACTTGTAGTTTTGCAGCAGCTGGAGGGCCGCTAGTTTGACATCCCTGGTGTAAAGCCTCCAACTGTCCCTCATCTGGAAGGACTGTCCCCCGTTTGGAGGGAGACATATTTCATCTGTACACCATGACCAGTCAGGTTCATTGTGGCACCCTATTAATCACATGGTTGGTTACAGTATGCTGTGCAAGAGGAATATACCACAAGTCTTTTGGAACTTGCGTTTAACATTGTCAGGCATGCATACAAGTACATGGGGGGCATGAAAACTACTGAGTACCATTTTGAGTTGCTACAATGAAATTTCAGCAAAATGGACTAGCCTGCTGCATAACCTTTTCACTTTGATTTTCGGGGTGTCTTTGAATTCAGTCCTCTGTAGGTTGATCATTTCCATCAAATGATGGGGCATTCTTACATTCCTAACACATTACCCAGTCCCTATTGGTATAGATATCCAGCATGAGATTTTTCCTCATTGAGGTCTGATGTGTTTTCAAAGGGTTCCTTTAAATTTTTGGAGCAGTGTAAATAGGAACACTGATCTTCCCAGTGAATGGCTGTGGGGGGGGGGGGGGTGTCACCATAAGTCTGATCATTGGAGGACAGCAGGCTGAGTTCCCATCACAGTCAGACCACTGACAAAACACTGTGCTCTAATGCCGGATTAGAGCCAGGGCTGGATCTAGCTGATATGGTCTGGGGGGGCAGTAAAAAAAAAAGTCAGGGGGGCACAATGCCAGCACTGTGTGGGAGTTACTGAGAGTCTGTCACACAGACAGGAAACACTGGTATGTATTAGGATGACACAGGACCTGTCCTTATATCAGATGTCCCTAACAAAATCCCCTTTTAAATCAGGAGTCCTCATCAGAGTCCCCATTTACATTGGGTTCCCATCTGCTTGCCCCCTTACATCAGGTGTCCCCATCAGAGTGCATCCATCAGAGTGCCCCCTTACATCAATCGTCCCCAGAAGAGTGCTCCCTTACATCAATCATCCCCAGAAGAGTGCTCCCTTACATCAGGTGTCCCCATCAGAATGCATCCATCAGAGTTCCCCCTTACATTAATTGTTCCCAGCAGAGTGCCCCCTTATATCAATTGTCCCCAGAAGAGTGCTCCCTTACATCAGGGGCCCCATCAGAGTGCCCCCTTACATCAGGTGTCCCCAACAGACTGCCCCCCTTACATCAGGGTCCCCATCAGAGTACCCCCTTACATCAGGGTCCTCACCAGAGTGCCCCCTTACATCAGGTGTCCTATCAGAGTGCCCCCTTACATCAGGTGTCCCCAACAGAGTGCCCCCTTACATCAGGTGTCCTATCAGAGTGCCCCCCTACATCAGGTGTCCCATCAGAGTGCATCGATCATAGTTCCCCTTTACATCAATTGTCCCCAGCAGAGTGCCCCCTTACATCAGGGTCCACATCAGCGTACCCCCTTACATCAGGGTCTCCACCAGAGTGCTTCCTTACATCAAGGGCCCCATCAGAGTGCCCCCTTACACATCAGGTGTCCCCACCAGAGTGCCCCCCAACAGAGTGTCCCCACCAGAGTGCCCCCTTACATCAGGCTCACCATCAGAGTACTCCCTTACATCAGGGTCCTCACCAGAGTGCCCCCTTACATTAGGTTTCCTATCAGAGTGCCCACTTACATCAGGGTCCCCATCAGAGTGCTCCTTACATCAGGTGTCCCCAACAGAGTGCCCCCTTACATCAGGGTCCCCAGAGTACCCCCTTACATCAGTGCCCCATTAGTGTGCCCCCTTACATCAGAGTCCCTATCAGAGTGCTCCCTTATATCAGGTGTCCCATCAGAGTGCCCCCTTACATCAAAGTCCCCATCAGAGTGCCCCCTTACATTAGAGTCCCTATCAGAGTGCTCCCTTATATCAGGTGTCCCATCAGAGTGCCCTTTTACATCAGAGTGCCCCCTTACATCAGGTGTCCCCAACAGAGTGCCCCCTTACATCAGGTGTCCCCATCAGAGTGCCCCCTTACATCAGGTGTCCCCAACAGAGTGCCCCCTTATATCAGGTGTCCCATCAGAGTGCCCTTTTACATCAGAGTCCCCATCAGAGTGCCCCCTTACATCAGGTGTCCTATCAGAGTGCCTTTTTACATCAATTGTCCCCAACAGAGTGGCCCTTTACATATGATCATCTCAATCAGAGTGCCCCTTATATCAGGTATCCCCATCAGTGAGCCCCCCTTACATGGATTGTTACCATCAGAATGCTTCCCTACATCAAATGTCTGCATCAGACCCTCATGCATTAGTGGATGCACTTTCAGAGACCTGGAGGGGCAAAGCTAAAATCTGGGTGGGCACAGCCCACCCCAGCACCCCCCTAGATCCAGCCCTGCTAATGCCTAGTGTGGTCAGTTTTCAATAGGAAAGCAGAGGCACTGGCAGGAACACCAAGGATTTCACACAAAGAAAGCAATACAAAGAGAACAGGATATTTTTTCATAGAAGTACACAGTACAGCAAGCACATACCAGGAATATGAAATATTGGGTTTACATATTCTTTAATTACATGAATCAAGTTCCAAATGTTGCATATTTCCCTCCCTTCAGATGTGAAATAGATTAAAATGCCAAAAGCAATCATCCAAAGACCATGTTGCGAATGTTAACAAACTAGCCATACAGGCCTGGTTACTGTTGTCGGTGATGTGCAATCTGGTGTATTTAATAGTAAATTTAACACCCATCCCTTTTGACTTCTATAACCTACGTGTATCATGACTGTTCAATTACAGAATTTGTCACCGTATCGCTCAGCACAGCCAGCTCTAAAATGTGTCAGCGCTGAGCAGGTATGATTTACAGTACACCCAAAAGACCACTAGAGGGCACTCACAACCTGGACTAGAATCACTGACACAAAAAGGAAGTATAACTAAAAGTAATAAAAAACAGAAAATGTAACTTACAAGAAGCCAAAGCAAAGATAATCCAAAATTGCAAAACAGAAGAAATAACGAATTAGGTTATGTGCCTGCAAAGACCATCATTTAAGATCAATGAATTGATTTATTGTTACATATGTGGCTTCATGTAATAGCACAAATTTAGAGCATTGTGCGATTTAGACTGGCCATACACTATACAATTTTCTGTCCAATATCTGCCCATTTTCCTTTAGATTTACCTTCGACTATGTAGTGCAAGGGCCTGCCTATTGGGATACAATTGAAAGTGTTGTTTAGGTTTCACCTATGTTTTTTGGTAAATCTAAACCAAAAATCTCAAGAAAATTGTATAATGTATGTCCAGCCTAAGTGTTGCCACATGCTGCACTGCATTGTTCCCTATGTGGAATTATTGGCAGTGATTAATCGTGAATCATGCCCAATGACATCTCTAACCAAGATTGCTCATTGTGTGCCCTGTTTGGAAAATGGACAAAAATCTAAATCATAGCACATACGAAATGTCACCCTAGGTTCACACCTAAGTGTTTTGCGTTTTGCAGAAACACACTACAGTCCATTTAACATGCATTCCTATGGGACAGATTTTTCACCCGGGGCGGTTTTTCAGAAAGGGTTATGGACTTTTTTAAAAGCAAAATTGCGTTTTTGTTTCTATAGGCTTAAATGGAAATGCTGCAGAAAATCATGTAGTGTGTTTTTTACTGTGTTTTTGATGCATTTTGCCTTTTTAAATCTGCCTAGCAACAAGAAAAAAAACTGCAAACTGCATCAAAAACACATAAAAAAATGCATGTGCAAAAACGCAAAATGCACTGCAGAAACGGATCAAACGCAAACTGCATAGGTGTGAACCTAGCTTAAGGCTAATCCATATATAAGCACAGCATGGAAAGGTACCGGTACACGCAGTGCTGGAAGATGTATTTGGAAGCTGCTTGTCACATACCTGATGGAGTGTCACATACAGGGGCGGACTGACAATTCATGGAGCCCCCTGGCAATAGGGAATCATGGGGCCCCGGTGTCCTCGCCCACACTCAAACCACACCCAAAAAAGCCTATGAAAAAGGTACCAGGGGCATCTCACGGGGCCCCCTACTGACCCAGGGCCCTCGGGCAGTGCCCAAGTTCCCAAATGGTCAGTCCGCCCCTGGTCACTTACCTGTTGGAGATCAAGCTGAATAGGTGGGCTTCTCTTGCACTTCTTGTCCAATACCGCTATTGGTGCTGATGGCTGATGTGAGGCCACAGAGTGGCACCAGGGCCAATGTTGCAGGCAGAACCAGCTGTTGGGTGTGAGGGACAGACGACTATGAACCGTGGGGTAACAGCCAGATGCAGGAACACAGTAGCAACCAATCAGCAAATAGAAATATAGCCAGGACTCAAGCTGAAAGCAGTATTTAAAGTCTTACTAAACCCACAAGAGTAAAATCAGTCTGTATATGCAGTAAAGCATGCTTGTTCTGCTCACTGTGGAACCAAAAGGGTTAATCTTCTGCATTGTGTAAAAAGGCTGTTTGATACTGTCTTCTCTGATCCTCCCCTTTTTCCACTGTTCCCAACCCATCTGCTGATAATACAGAGCCTTAGGAGTCACTGCGCACGCTCAGTGTAGTGGGTATGGCTAGAGAGTTTTTTTTCTTTGGGAAAGTGCATGTGATCATCACAGGGCCAATCAGCACTGTCCAGAGAGAGGTCAGGGGTTAGGCAGCCTCATGGGACAATCAGAGCAAAATGAAAACTCCTCCTACAAAGTTTAACCAGTACTTAGCTGGACACTGATAGAAGTCACAAGACTGCTATATACTGCTGCTGAGAAAATGTATATAACAGTTTATGTTTACTAAAATTGCATTTCCATGTTCTGTGTACTGTGAAAGATCAGATATAGTGAATGCAAGGTACTGGGTTTAGTAAAACTTTTACCCTAAAAGCAAACATGTATTATATTGCAGCCTACCAATTCATAGATGTGATGGCTGTATTAGTTTCCATTTTTCATTCCTATTTTCATCGGATGATCCAGCCAGCAAGTCTGTTATTTTTCAAAAGCTCAATCTCCAGCAGAAAGCTTCAGTTTACCTGAATGAGATAAACCACTTAAACACTGGCAGGGGTGATTAACATGATCAGCGTTTATTTATTCATGCAAAACCTTTATCCCAAAAGGAAAAAAAAACTGTTTACTGTAATGGATTATAAAGTGTTAGCTGGAGGTTGGCTTCAGTTTGTTAGTGTATTAAAGTCTGCTAATGCATTTAACACTACCTCTCCCCCTTCCCCCAGACCGATAATGCTGCTGTCTACTGTGCCACCTGTGCTCCTTCATCCAGAGTTGTGTCTCACTACACCGGAGATGTGTTTACTGGCCATATCACCAAGTGAAAACAGGGGAGAAAAAGCCAAAGAAAGGAAAACAGATGCAGCCACCACATCTAATGATTGTTAAGCTGCAATATAATACATTTTTGGTTGGTCGTCTTCAGTTAGGAAGTGAGATTCCAAGGCGGCAGTTGAACGATCAATATTCCTCAAATATAGAAAGGCCAGCGGGGCCACCCATAGCTAGACAAGCCATAATATAACATATCTAGAGCCATTGCCTTAACCACTTACCTACCGGGCACTTATACCCCCTTCCTGCCCAGGCCAATTTTCACTTTCAGCGCTCTCACACTTTGAATGACAATTGCGCGGTCATGCAACATTCTACCCATATGAAATTTTTATAATTTTTTTCACACAAATAGAGTTTTCTTTTGGTGGTATTTAATTGCCACTGGGTTGTTTTATTTTTTTGTGCTATAAACAAAAAAAGAGCAGAAAATTTGAAAAAAAAATGTTTTCTTTGTTTCTATTATAGCATTTTGCAAACAGGTAATTTTTCTAAATATTGAATACAAGATTAGCGAGCGCTCAAGACTTTGATGAGGTCAGCAGCAAATGCACTAAAAAGGAACCCAAAACCTTATATAAAACATACACAAAAATTGGTGCAGCGCTGAAAACATTAATATATAAAAGTGCACTATTCAAGATAATTGATATGAAAATATGAAATGCAAGTGATAACACAGGAGTGAATGAAGCTCTACAATGAGCGCAATTAAACAAGTGCGACTGTGAAATTCATAAAACAAAGGAAGTGTTCATATGATGGTGAGGGTCTGACAAACACTGGTCAGAAAATTGTGCTGCATACAAATCCTGTTGCACAGGTGGTATCAAAATATTCCATGTGACTTTAATCCATGCAGGTAATTTTTCTCCTTCACTGATTTGCGTTGAGGCTGCACTGATAGGCAGCACTGATGGGCACTGGTGAGGTGGCACAGATAGACAGCACTGATAGGCTACACTGATGAGGTGGCTCTGATGAGGCAGCACTGGTGGGCATTGATGAGGAGGCACTGATGATGCTGCACTGATAGGTGGCACTGATGGGAGGTGCTGACTGGTGGCACTGACTGACAGCACTGACTGGCGGCACTGACTGGCGGCACTGATGAGCATCACTGATGGGTGACACCGATGGGCGGCGCTGACTGGCAGCACTGACTGACGGCACTGACTGGCAGCACTGATGGGCACTAATGAGCATCACTGCTGGGCACTGATGGGCGCAACTGCTGGGTGACACTTCTGAGCAGCACACTGCTGGGGGCACTGCTGGTGGGAGGCACTGCTGGGCACTGGTGGATGGCACTGCTGGGCACCAGTGGCGTCCCGAGGCAGGTGCAAGGGGTGCGGTCCGCACCAGGTGACACCGACCACACGGGGTGACACCGGACCCGCTCCACAAAACGTTAAGCTGTAAAGCAAGCTGACGATCGTCGGCTGTCTTTACAACTTACCTTTTCTTGGAGCGGTTCCAGTGTCACCCCGTATAGCTTGCATGCGGACAATCCTGCGGAGTGACACCGGTGTATGGGCAAGATGTGTCTCCCATGCAGGGGTATATCCACCGCGAGGCAAACAAGGCGTTTGCCTAGGGTGGCAATTTTTAGGGGGGCGGCACCGCCCCCCCCCTCCCCCACCAAGAAGGGACCCTTTGAGCAGCGGCGTAGATCAAGAAGATCGATGTGGTG